CGAGTTTACTACGTTGTTGTACCTGATGAGGACACATGTTGTTTGGACAATAATTTTGATCAATGATTATGGGATTTCCAACATTCCTCATAATGAGATTTTCGAAAACAATGTTCCTTGCATAGCCACCACTAGGCCTTGCCCATGACTTCAGCCTCACACCATTTTGTGTCTTTGTGAAAACAGAATTTGTCAGAGTCACATTTTGGACTCCACCTTCATTGAAACTGTTGCCTAAGCTGCCAATGCTGTGAAAATAGGAAAAAAATTATCGATAATGAGTTAATCAATCCACTTATTTAATCTTACAACAAGAGTCTTAAAGTTAGTCGTGTCAAAATAGACTAGTCTGTCTAGCTAGACACGGTATCAGCCACCCGTTACTGGACCGGGCGATGACCGGCTGACCCATGAATGAGGCTGCACATCTTGGCCTATCCCAACACCGGACGGGCGCAGGAGTCGAGCCAGGCCTCAGTGAAATGGCCACGAAGCCCAGGCCAGCCTAGGTTTCTTTTCAACTCTGCTGGTAGCCCGGTATGGAATGGTCCTGTCCGATTGACATCACTACCTAGACTCCTATGATAGTCTTATTTACCTGATGCCATGTCCAGGGCCACATCCAATTTGCTCAACCCACACATTCATGGATCCTTGACCAAGTGATATGCAGTCATCTCCTGTTCTAATTGTACTGTCTGTGATGGTAACACCCATTGAGTACTCAACATGAATGCCATCAGTGTTGGGGCTTCCACTTGGAGCATTTATTTTCACATTCTGTATCTTCACATCATTGCTATGGTTGATGGAAATGTGCATTATCTGACTGTTATACGATGTCAAACCGCGAACGTTGCACCACTGCAACGATATCGACTGCATTCAATATGCACAAGTTTAGCAATGACTAGCCCATGAAATTTTTTAAACAATATATGAATATAGGTCTCAAATGAACTGTGACTTACCCTTGCTCCTTGAGGGCAACTTTGTCCACGGCTTCGACATGACCAGAAATCGGCACCTTTCGCATCGATTGTTCCCCCGATAATCGATAACCTACTGACTTTATGAAACTGAATCCAGTATCCCGAGTTGCCAATGGCGTAATAATTATCAGGAGCAACAAGTTTTCCATGTATTGCAAACTGGATCCTGTTTCTGCATGGACCAGTAAATGTGATTGATCTTACCAAGAATGTGCCACGAGGAACGGATAATGTAGCAGGTCTAACCGAGCTGCAAGCTTGCATCCATGCCCTGATAAAAGCCGAGGTTGAGTCTGTTCTACCATCCCCTTTGGCTCCAAATCTAACCACACTGTATGCTGATGCTCCAGAAGGAGATAACAGCAATTCTATGAATGCTAGAAAATATATCCAAGAAGTTGTCTTGAAAAACTTGGACATTTTTATGCTTCTCGAAGTGGAAAGAGTTGGGTGAGAGAAGGGAGGGGGAGGGGGAGGGGGTTTGAACAATAGATGACTTGAAAAAACAGATGAAATCTGAAATTATATATAGTAAAAGGATTAAGGATTAATACTTGTACAGGTAAATCCCACTTTATAGATGTAGCGTTGGCAGCTCTGCCTTGGCTGCCAACGCTACATTTTTTGGACAGTGTCCAATGACAGAATGTCACATTCATTTTTTGGATAGTATCTAATGATAAAATGTCATGTCAATTGTCAAGTTGTTGTGTTGGTAGTGCTGTATTTGCTGTCAAAACTAAATTTTTTGGACAGTGTCCAATGATAGAATGACATATGGATTGACAAGTGATTAAGATGGGAATCCAATTAAAGGACTTGGATCTCAATTTAGTGATTTACGAGATGTACTCGGGCATGTACGGTGGCATTGTGATGAATTCTTGGGATCAGAATTTATTCTATTTATTGATTAATGATCCATAAAGTGCGCAGCAGGCCATGAATTCTATTCTTATTTTAGCATGTGACTTCTGCACACAATTCCCTAATGTAATTTCTAAAAGTATATTTTTTTAGGCATAGCTCTAAAAATTGTACTTTCAGGAAAAAAATTCTTTCAAATATGACTGCAAAGTTTACGAATAAAACTCACCTTTTAACATCGGTCTATGGAAGGACACGTGCCATACAATATACCTTTCCAAGTCGTCCTATCCAAAACGAGGGACATCTTAAGAAGCGTGTTTGTATTGTAATTATTATCATTACACAGAGTGAAACTTGTAAAATTGGTCTTTAGCGATTATCGACCATAGAAATCTAATCAACAAATACCATTCACATAGCTATGATTTCCATTTCATAAATTCAGTACTATCGATGTTCAAATTGGAGCAAGAAGGGAAATAGCTATTTGATGGAGAAATATTTGAATTACATCCGTTTCTTATCAAATGAGGGGGGTATTTATAGATTTCCATTCAAGCCTTTTGGGTAATTGGTTCATTTTGATAGAATGACAGATGCCGGCTCCTAATGGACTACCTTATAATTGATTTGGTTAAGAATCACGTTTTATTTATTAGACCACGTGATTTCCTTGCCAATCTGTAGATAGCCTTGATAGAGGGGAGGTTCGCCTATTTGGAGTGCATTTTTTAGGCCTTCATTCCCTTCGCAAGCTGCCTTCTCGTCGCCAGGCGGGGCAAAGTCCGTGGAGCATATTTCTTGATTCAACAACGATGCAAGAGTCAAGTAGGGTTGCTTACAAATTTTTGTGTTACAATATTCCAATTTATTCTTGTCCCGCGTTTCTCTTGTTCTAGTATATGGGAAATGAGAGATGCTTATGGATCATCCTCTCTGCAGAATCTTGAAATCGTACGTACCCAAAACTAAGCTCTTTCGTGCACAAAAACCAGAAGGAATCCGATGCTAAGCACAAAATTGCAACAGCTAAGATTCTCACTCGATCAAATTTGCACCCAATATAAAAATGCATGTGCACAGAGTGCATACATTTATTACTGAGAAGTTGAATTTTTCAGAAAGAATATTCTTTCTGGCTTAAAGTATTGCTTAATTATCCAATTACTTCTAAGGAGATAGTCCCGGGGACACAGGCGCGAGTCTTGCTCTCTTCACATTGAATGAGGTTGAGGATATGTATAAAATAAATAATACTTCAAATTAAATTTTTGATGGGAAATTAATTTCTAGAGAGAAAACAAAACTTCTCCGTAGCTTGCTTCTGTTCAATGGTGGCATTTTCTAGTTATCAATTGTACAGACGACGCAGGTGCCGTCTCATGGACTAGTTCATGATATTTTATTGAAGTTATTACTATTGACAAATCAATAGGCGTCTATGTCTATGTCTATGTCAATGATGTGTATGTGTTTTTAGAGGACCTAAAAAACAAGATATCCTGAAAAGGAAAAAGAATTGACGAAAAAGAGTCCCCACGGGCAAGGCGTAGTGGTAAAGTAGGAGGGTTCTCTACAGAGTATCGGATGTTCGAATCCCCGCGACCGCTGGAAGACAACATTTTTTTGGAATACAGATGTCATGTCGAGGCAAAGTTATGGTACGCTTGATCGTCCCTTCGGGGGTCTTGTAACAAGACAGTGTAGTACTTTGATAAGATTTGGGTTACCCTAACTTTAAATCCCACTTTTCCCTCCAATCAAATCAAATATAAAGTCCATATTTGGTACGGATTAAAATCTAGATTTTGATTTAAGTCAAAATCAACAATTCATTTTAACCACATGTTTCATAAATTCCAAGGTATTTCAACCATACATTTCATTAACTTTTATTAACATATATTAAAAATTTAATTTTAATCCTCACCAAATAGAGACAAATTTATCAGATAGTGCTCTTCTCCCAACTTGACTACCCACCGTGACAAGACATTGGTTCTCCCAAGAGCAAAACTAGCAAACCCACCATTGTTAGATAACGAAAGATTTGAATGAAAAAATTGTTTTTGAAACAAGATATTCAAATTTATTTTATTAGTGGTTACCTTCTCGAATGTTCGGCCCAAATGTGTATAAGCTGTGATTGCATCCGGACTTACTCAGTTGGCGAACTGGGAGGAAGGCCGCCACTCGTCACGATTAGTCGGGCGAAACTCAGACACGTGAGTCATAAAAAAAAAAAAGAAGAATTGACGAAAAAGGATCAAAGTTGGACGAATTCTGATATATGGGAAACGAGATATCGAGCTTGGAAGTTGAAGGACCTCAATTACAAATAACGGAGGACTCAGTACTAATCAATAAAGTGATCTGGAAACGAAAACACAGAATCGGAAAAGTCTTTGACCATTGCGATCGCAAGGGTCTAATAGACAACGATCTCAGCACATGAATTTACAGAGGCAATGAGATGTCCAAACAAACCATGTGATCGAACCTACATAAACTGTTCGATCGCACAGTCAACTACAACAACAAAAAAAAAATCCAGATTTTCTACTTCTATTCAACTTTTGATTTCTACACCAATTCTGGCTATATTTTAGACCTAATTAGATGTCTATAAATAGGAGTTCTTCATTCTAATCAAGGAGAAGACATTAGAGACGCATTCTTGAAGCAAATTACATAGATTCAATTATAAAATTTCAAGATTTGTGGCTATAAATTAGGATTTGAAGGCGGAACTTTATCGTTTCGTGGTGAGATCTATAATTATCAAGGAAGAGATTGAATATCTACTGTTGGGATTCGTGTGACAAAATCAACAATAGTTTAGATTTTCTTCTTAGTTTATTGTATTGAATCCAGTGATGTTTTTAATCATTATATTGTTTAACTTCGCAATTATGAATGACTATACAATTGTTGTTAGGATGAACAATGTAGTAGCTAGTAGTTTAGGTTTGGTGTTTATTTAATTCAAAATAATTCAGCATCACCTTCAACTTCTGGCACTTATTCAATTTTTATATTTTGAGTTTTATAGTGATACACTGAGGACAATGTAGAAAATTACATTTGGGGTGGAAAATACTATATTTTCTTGTAATTTAATCTATATTTTGCATGAGAGCCTACATTACGGAATTGCTCGTGTTTAATCTAGGTTTAATTTTGAGTTAGAAAAAAAAATACTAAGTTTTCTTGTATCTTAATCTAATTTTGCAAAGGAGTTGGCTTTACTTTATTGTTTATTTTTAATTTAGGTTTACTTTATATATATATAGTCATGAGGACCCGTGGTTGTGGTTGATCTCCTAAACACCGATACTTATCTTATGCTAAGCATCGGGGGACGTGGTACACTACAATCAATATAAGTCATGATCTCTTGAGTATTGGTGCTTAACTTATGCTAACCACCCTGTGACATGATATGATCAAAATTTAAATCACTTCTTGTTAATACTTGAATTTTAAATCATTAATTGCATGGGTTCATTATTTTGTTATTTTTGATCAATTGACGTGAATTCATCTTTATTGCACTTAAGGTCGATTTTGAAATTAGTCGTGTAAATTAGCTACTTCAGAATATTTTAAGACCGTAGTATATCGTTATATATTACATTAATCGACCAAGTTGGAACCATATGTAAAACTCATTTAGAATAAGTTTGAGAGTGATTAAATCCATAAAAATCAATACACATGGTCCAATAAAGACATTGCACTAGTCCGAGAAGAAAGATGTAAAAGTGTAGCAAGAAGCGGCCTGCATCGATAATCATGCCAAAATTAGTCTTCGATATTGATTGGTGGTATATACCACCCTATATTGTAGGAAAGAGATTATAAAATTAAGCAGTCCGATGTAGATATCATCAATGTTTGTGCAAAATAGCTGCCTATAAGTGAGAAAGAAAATTGTAAAATTAAGAAAGTAAATTGAGGGATGTGAAATTATATTGACATACTTGGGATTTGTTATTATTTGAGAAAAACGTACTTCGGGAGTTGAAGTAATAAATTGACTCAAGTTGCATAGGTGGAATTGAGAATGATCAACGCGCGCGTGCACATACATTCAAAAGTTGAATATACAATATGTAAAATTTGTACAATAAACGTTAATTATTGTGTTTCATTAACTTGTTTAAATTTTGAGATTTACATATTCACTTATTTAGTGTTTAGTTGAGTCTTTATTTTAGTTTACTCGAGGATGTATAAATGTTTAAATTTGAGAGAAATGATACAAGTCGAGCCTTATTGACAATATTTGTGGACCACTAGGAAAGAAATATATAACAGTAGAGAACACTTAGGCGTCGTGACATTTTGGCGTTAGAGCATTGCATATCGAACATATAGACTGATCGTCTAGAATTTTATTTCTATTTTCTCTTTTATTTTAAATGAGGGTATTTCGAGCATTAATAGTCGTGGGCTTTTTCTAGGGTTTCTCTTAATTTTTTGGTATTTAGACTAAGTGTGAAGTTGTCTTCTGTTGTTTTTTTGATTAATTATTAAAAATTCGGAAATTATTAAAATTTTCGTTCTTTTCCTGTGGAATCAATGGAAATAGATTAAGGTGTTTTTTTTTTTAAAATTAAATTTCGACTCTTGAACTTCATCATAGTAACTAATATCAGGTTGCTATGCTTGATTTAATCAGTACAAGCTATTGTTTATCACTTTCATTCATATGAACTCATTTCTCATATAAGATACATTCTTTCTATACTCGTTCTTCATTTTGTATCCAAGATTTTATGTAAAAGATCTGTAGTCCTATTCGAGTACAAGTCTTTTAATTATTTCTAATTATACAAGCACTTGTTGGATTGAACTAATCAACAGACCTTCCCATGGGTGTTAATGCATAATGAATGAGCCGGTTCGTTTTTGTAAGTCAGCTTAACATCATTCAAGGTGATACCACTGCACGGATATCGTTTACTGCAGTCAAATTTCGTCGCGATTTCGGTTGCTGAAGTCCCATGTATGTCTTGATAAGTTATATCGCTAATCTTTACACTTGAAACCTGAAAAAATAAAATAAACCTTTTTCAGAATTAATTGGCAGTTCAATCTTCTATTTTTCTCAACTTTTTGGCTAACTCATGATGGGATATTATATACATAAGCGGGAATAGGGATAGGGGTTGAATTTTTATTTTCCTGATAGAAATAAGAGTAACAATAAAATTTATAATGCTACAAAAGCGATTACTACCTGATTAGGACAATTGTTGTTGTCGGGACAATAATTTTGGTTTATAATGATTGGATTTTCAACGTTAACCATTGCAATATGTTGGAAAAGAACATATTTAACAAATCCCTTGCTTGGCCTGGCCCATGTCTTCACCCTCACCCCATTTTGAGTTCCTGTAAATGTAGCTGACTTAACTGTTATATTTTGCACTCCAGGTTCTTGCAATTCCCACCCTAGACTCCCAATGCTGCACAAGGCACACAAATTAATCAACTTAGGTATTATGTAACTTAATTTAAAGCACACATTTAGGTAGGAAAATAAATCATTGAAATGACATAAATGTATCCATTGTGGACTATATGTTAGTACAAGGTAATAAAACTAGTACCTTATTCCATGGCCGGGGCCACAGGTGACCTTTTCGATCCACAGGTTGGAGGTTTCAGGGCCTATAGAGACACAATCATCACCAGTGCCAATTTTTGAGATCATAATTGTGACTTGTGTTGATTTCTCCACGTGAATTCCATCGGTGTTTGGGCTGTTTCCTGGTGCTGAAACCTTTATTCCAACCAGCTGGGCGTTTTGGCTTCCATAAACCAGAATGTGGAACTTCTGGCTATTTATTGAAGATAATCCACCGATCCTAATGTTTCTGGAATTGTAGAAAGCCAGTGTCTGTATTGAAGATTCAATCAGAAAGTACATTAGAATTTTACATTGCTTGTATACAATCATGTCATTTACTTTTTTGGTAAACCTTTTTGGTATGGCTGAATATTTTAGCTAGTAGAATGAACTACATATGTGTTTTAACATGCAAAGCTAATTTAATACTTTTTTTAAAACTCCTCCCTTTTCCCTAGATGTAGACCTTGTCTTGCTCTACTTTTTACAAGATTAAAATCAATTTTTATACCGTTGTAAAGTGTAAGTAGGTTCCAGTGTTTGGCTTTTATTGAGAAGGAAGTAAAAAATGATGGCTGCAGCGATACAATATTTGATTAAAATTCGGATGGAAATTTCTCCCAAACAGGCGCATAACTTGGAGGTAAGGCTGTCTCGCCCCTTCCCACTTGTACATCTTTTATTTATGGGTAACTTCAACATTAGGTCGAGGTAGAAGCCATAAAATCATGCTAGATATGGATGGTGTTTCAACTAAAACAAAAATTCAAACCAAATTAGAGGACTATATCAAATGATAGTTAAAGTCCACTTTGTTCTCATTAACATACTGTCGATCCTTTTGGACAACTCCTACCAGAATTCTTGCAAGCCCACAAATTAGCCCCTTGTCCATCTAGGGTTCCACCAATGACAGAAACTTCGGTCACTCTTTTGAACTTGATCCAGGTACCAGAATTTCCGATCATGTTATAATTAGATGGAGCTACAAGAGTGCCATCAATGCGTAGCATTATAGCCCTGCTTTTGCATTTTAGGCCGGAAAAAGTTGTGGCGCCAAGCAAGAATCTTCCTAATGGCACATGAATGGTGGCTGGCTGTGTAGAGGCACAGGCTGAGGTCCATGCTCTCAAAAATGCTTTGGTGGAATCAGTTTTTCCACCTGGTTTTGCTCCCAGAGTTTGAACATTGTAATTAACATTGGCTGCAAATGATGAGTAGTGGAAAAAGGTGAAGAAGCAATGGAAAGCAAGAAAATTCACTAAGAAAGCCATTGTGTGCCTGTATGAGACACACACACAGACACACAGAGTAGTAGAGAGGGGAGAGAGATATGGGATGAGGAGTTGAAGCATATTGAAACAAGGAAGGTCACGAACTTGGGAAAAGATTATCATTTATTGCTAATCTAACTAATACAGCTATATCAGATTATATAGACAAAGATCACGAAAAGAAGCAGGAAAAACAGGTAGTGCTGGTGTAACTAATTCCAGCAAGGAGAGAGAAGGAAAAGGAAATAAAATTCTAACTAATTACAATGGAAGAGGAGAAAACGTAATAGAGAGAAAGGCGTTATAAAAAATAATAAAAACGCTATTTCAAATACTCCCCCTCAAGGTGTGCGTAAATGTCCTTGATGCACAACTTGGACAGCAAAGGAAACAGACTGGAAGAAGGCAATGGTTTGGTGAAGAGATCAGCCAATTGATATCGTGAACGCACAGGAAGAAGCTTGACCACTCCTGCATTTATCTTATCACGTACAAAATGGCAATCAACCTCTATATGCTTGGTACGTTCATGGAAAATGGGATTAGTGGCAATCTGAATAGCGGCCTGGTTATCACAATAAAGTGCAGCTGGAGTAGAAACAGAAACTTGAAAATCTTTCAGCAATTGTGTGATCCAGAGAATTTCACTGACAGCAGAAGCAAGTGCCCTATACTCTGCCTCTGCCGAAGAACGGGACATGGTTGGCTGCTTCTTGGATTTCCATGAAACTAACGAATCACCAACAAAAATACAGAATCCAGTAGTTGATTTACGAGTGTCAACACAGGAGCCCCAATCACCATTGGAGAATGCTCGAATGTGAATGGATTTATCTGAAGCCAGTTGTAAAGGGAAGAAAAGACCCTGTCCAGGATGCCCTTTCAAATACTTGAGTAAATGATGAACGGCCTTCAGGTGCGGCAATCTGGGTTGAGCAACAAATTGACTCAGCTTATGTACAGCAAACGTGATGTCAGGTCGTGACAAGGTTAAGTAAAGGAGTTTTCCAATTAATCTCCTGTAAAGAAAAACATCAGGAAGGAGGTCCCCTTCATGGCGACTGAGAGAAATCTTAGGATCCATAAGGCTAGTAACAGGCTTACAATCCAGGTAATGTGCATCCTCAAGCAGCTGCAAGGTATAATGTCTTTGCGAAATGACAATACCAGAAGTAGATCTGGCCACTTCGATCCCCAAGAAATATTTCAGGATCCCCAGATCCTTGAGTTTGAACTGAGTGTGTAAGAAAGACTTTAAGGAATTGATTTCCTCCAGATTTGGTCCAGTAACCACAATATTGTCGACATATACCAGCAAAGCCACAAAGTTTTGTCCTGAACCCTTCGAGAAAAAAGAATAATCAGATTTCGATTGAGTGAAACCATACTGAAGAAGAGACTGAGTGAACTTAGAATTCCATTGTCTAGAAGCCTGTTTTAGGCCATAGATAGATTTATGCAGTTTGCAAACCAATTTCTTCCTATGTTTAGGTGGCCTGAGCAAATCATAGCCAAGTGGAAGCTCCATGTATACCTCCTCAAACAAGTCCCCATTCAAAAAGGCGTTATTAACATCCAATTGCATTAAATGCCAGCCAAAGTGAGCTGCAAGAGTGAGTAGGAGTTTGACAGTCACTGCCTTGGCTACAGGTAAGTAAGTATCAAAATAATCGAGTCATTCCTGTTGAGTATACCCCTTGGCAACAAGGCGAGCTTTGTGCCTCTCAAGTGACCCATCAGATGTAAACTTGTTTTTATAAATCCATCGACAACCTACAACATGTTTCCCAGGTGGTAACTGCACAACAGACCAAGTGTGATTATCCTCCATGGCCTTGAGTTCAAGCTTCATGGCGTCACACCAATGAGGAAGCTTAATAGCTTGGTGGAAAAATTTAGGTTCAATGTGTGAAGAGATGGATAATGCAAAGTGTCTATAAGGTCTGGAAAGATTCTCATAGGAGATAAAATTGCTAATGTGGTATGGAGAAGGAGATAAAACTGGAATGTGATGAGACATCAGATTACAGTGGTAATCATGAAGGTATTTGGGAGGTCTAGAAGATCTTGTGGACTTGCGAATTTCAAGACTTGAAGTATTGACAGAGTTTGATTCATTTGGTAATTCAGGAATATGAGGAACATTCGAATGATATGATCTAGTAGAAGGAGAAGAAATGTCAGTATCAGGAATAATAGAGTCTTGATGATGATGAGGAAAACTATCAGGAGTATCAAGGGGCAAGGATAAACTGGGAGACGGAAGTACCAAATCGGGAAAAGGATCAAGCAACTGATCTGATTGAACTATAGTATGAAAAGGAAAGGTTTTTTCATGGAAGATAACATCTCTTGAAGTGAAAATCTGTCTAGATGCTACATCAAGTAGCTTGAATCCTTTGATGCCTGATGGATACCCTAGGAACACACATAATCTGGCACGAGGCTGGAATTTAGTCTTTTGTGCACACAGAGTAGAAGCAAAGCTCAAGCAACCAAACACTCGAAGATTAGAATAATCAGCAGGTCTGCTGTATAAAACTTCATAAGGGGTTTTGTGTCTTAAAAAGGGAGAGGGAGTCCTGTTAATGAGGTATGCAGCCGTTAACACACACTCAGACCAATAACGAATAGGAATTCTGGACTGAAAATATAAGGCACGAGCAACATTTAACAAGTGCTGATGCTTCCTCTCGACAACGGAATTTTGCTGAGGCCTCTCCACACAACTAAACTGATGTATGACCCCTCTATCAGCAAAGAAATTTTTACATGCCAATTCATGTGCATTGTTAGATCTGAAACATTTTATCTTAGCATCAAACTGTGTGGCAACCATATTGAAGAAACGAATTATAGCAGCCTCAGCTTCAGATTTCTGATGTAACATGTAAATCCAGGTAAACCTGGAACAATCATCTACTAAGGTCAGGAAATATTTGTGTCCAGAGTGTGATGCAGTATGGTATGGCCCCCCAGATATCACCGTGTAACAATTCAAACGGTTTATCAGACAACTTATTATGTGATTCAAAAGATAGCCTCCTTTGTTTAGCTATGGGGCAAATATAACAAGGCAAATGTCTATTCAAATCTGAAGTATTACAGGATACTTGGCTCTTCAATGCATCTAATCTTTTAAAAGATAAATGACCGAGCCTATTATGCCAAATGTGAGCTGGTACATTGCCAACAAAAACATCAAAAACAGAATTGAAATTTCTAGTATCAAGAACATACAACCCTTGAACACTACTACCCCTGCCAATCATCTTCATGGTGGAACTCTCCTTGATTTGAAACTGGCCCTGAAAGAAGTGAAATGTAAGTCGAGAATCAACAGCCAATGCACCAACTGACAATAAATTGAACTTGAATTGAGGCACATATAAGACATCATACAGCACCAAATTAGGACTTAGCTTGACTTCACCACATAGATTTACAAATATTTTGGAGTGATTTGGCAAAGTAATGCTAGCATTATTAACTGATCTCATATTCACAAATGCTTCAGCATTACAACAGACATGCTTAGTCGCTCATGTGTCCACTATCTAGACTTCTTTAGTGGCAAAAACAGGATCAATAGATATAGAATGACAAATACCTGTAATGCCTGTGGTCTGTTGTCTTTCCAATTCAGTAGGATCATAACTTAAATGAAGTGTCAAATGATTTGATAACATGTTCATGAGCTGCTGTTGCTGATTTGAATTCAGATTTTGGAAAAAATCACCTACGTTAGATTGATCCATGTGCTGATTAATGGATAACTGATTGACATGATTATTAGTATAATAGCCACGAACTCCTTCTCTGACTTTTGGCTTAAAACCTGGGGGGTACCCATGGATTTTGTAGCATTTGTCAATAGAATGGCCTTGAAATTTGCAGTGAGTGCAAAATGGCTTATCCTTTCTTTTGAAATTAGATATATTTCCAGATCTGTATCCATCATTTCTAGAAGGATAATTCATAATAGGCTTCATGACTTCAGATCTAACATCAGATCTGTATCCATCGTTTCTAGAATCATAATTCACAGTAGGTTTTGTAGTAACATTAGTTCTCACAGAGAATGCTGCAGATGCACTGGAAGACATATTTTCAGTTCCTAAAGTCTGTGCAGCTATCTTCTTCTGGTTCTCCTCTTGAACCATAAGTGCAAATACCTTATTAATGGGCGGCATAGGATCCATAAGCAAGACCTGACCCCTAGCTTGAGAAAAGGACTCATTCAGCCCCATAAGAAAGGACATGCTGTATTCCAATTGAAGATATTTGTTCATCTCCTTAACTCCTTCACATATGCATTTACCACAGCTGCAGTTAGGCCTGAAATTGATTAATTCTTCCCATACGGTTTTCAATTTCATGAAATAAACACTGATAGAATCCTGATCCTGAGTTAAGTTCATCAGCTCCTTCCTTAATTGGAAAATACGTGGTCCATTACTTTGTTGGAATCTCTCCTTGAGATCATTCTAGATCTCGTGAGCTGTAGATGCGTAAATAATGCTAGCAGAAATTTCCTTTGACACCGAATTTAGAATCCACGACATAACAATGTTATTGTTTCGAATCCAAGAATTAGTTAATTCTAGATTTGATCCATCTGGTTTCTTCATAGATCCATCAACAAAAGAGACCTTATTCTTGACCGAGAGTGCGATTATCATCGCCCGATTCCACGAAGCATAATTATCTCCAGTGAGGACCTGTGACACTAATACCAA